ACGGAGACTTGCCACGGTCTCCAACCCTCCTCCTTTCTCATCCGGGCTTGGGACCGGCCATGGCGGAGCTACAGTGAAAACTCGCTTCAAAAATGATTCTGATTACCCTTTAAGTTTGCACAATATGTTATTTCGTTATGATCACATTGGGGTTTAGGCCTATGATGTTAAGCGAGTGTGTAAATATGGAGGCAATATGCCTCATTTAGCTGATAGATTATCCTCAGGTTAGCGGAACGATTTTGTAAAAATAAGTTTACTAATAATGAAAAGTTATATTTAATTTTTGTTGTAATATAATGTAGAAGTAATTGTACTTAAACTGTGGGTGAAAACTTGCGTTGGCCTTGTGAACAGCTTCTTGTATAATCAAAAAACGTTGTAATTTTGCGCTCCTATGCTACACGTCCCATAACAGCATGAGGCCGTGAATTGGGTAAACGATCTACAAGGCCTCTGAAGGAAAGGGGAGGTACGGACGCAGCATCAACCTGAACAGAATTAGTCAAAATGTTCCAAAATTTGTTCGACGAGTTTACGTACTATAACACGCAGAAATGTAAAGTTTCTGAAGAAATTTTGGGAAAATTCAATTTATCAATAATGCATCCCACAGGTATACGAAGCAACATAACAAAAGCATATTATTTGCAAAAATGAGTTTCCTAAAGGCATATATTTCGGAACTGTTTAAAGAATTTTTGGAATATGGGCCCATAATTTATCAATTGAATATTTCTCGATGCATGGTTAGAATTGTAACCAAATCATAGTACAATTTTACTTAATGACGCGCTTTGCTACCAACAGCTATAATAACTTCAGAACCAAATGAAAGAAAGAAACGTTCAACAAAAGTGAAATGAAGAGTGCGGTAAAACAGGGAATTAAAAAACTAATAAATCATTCCTGAGTGACAGTTGTGTCCCACAAAGGTCAGATGTGAAGTCCGTAGACTAAATACCTTAAAGGTTTCTACAATCCAGTCATCATCATCAGCCATCGTCAATTCACTGATGAATGAAAGCCCTCCAACGCTTTGCCATGGACTGCTACTTTCTGTCATTTTCATTAATCTTGATTAAGTACATTTCTTCATCTCATCCGACCAACGATCTATAAATTTCCAACAGGCCGTTTACTCTCTTGGAACCCTGCCTAACGTATCTCTCTTCCAACTACTGTCGGCTTCTCTTGCAACGTGTACTGTCCATTACCCGTTTAACCACTTCACCTAGACAATCACATCGCACATTCTTGTTTGTGTCCCTTTCCATTCATTTGTCTTCCTATCTTTTCTTGCTGTTAGAACAAGAACAACATACATACTTCCATACTTCGGTGCGTAATCAGTTTTCAAACTTAGAGTCCACATTTTACGCCCACAGATCGCCACTGAGAACACGCACTGATCGAGTACTTTCCATTGCAAACACAAGGGAGGTTTCCTGGATAGAGACATTTTTACTGATCTAAAGGATAAATGCTATTTTTACTCTTCAGTTGAGCTCACACACTCGATTCTCCATTGCAGGGTTAAGATATCTCAGAAACTGATTGTTTTGCACTTCATCAAGCCTGAGATGTTGACCCCAACAGGTCTCGCGGTCACGTATTAAACAGGGTCTGAGTCTTCTTCAGGTTGATTTTCAGTCTTACTTTCATACTGACACCGTTAAGCTCTTGGTTTCTTATGATAACCTTGAAACGATAAGATAAACGTCGGCAAACCGCAGGTGGCTAAAAAGAGTGCGCATTTATTTTTACCTCCATTTTCCCAATGCAGTTTTTGAAAACCTCTTCTAGGACTGCTGTGAATAATTTTGGCAGTATTGTATTAAAATGTTCGAACGCCCAGTTTGACCTTTTAGTTGTTTGTAATTTCGTGCAGCTTCGCGCTAACAACTGCATTCTTGCAAATCATGACGATGAGGGCTCTATGTCTCTGAGATTTTCTCGATTTCCTGACTCCTCAAGAAATCTAGTTAGACCCAATCCAGGTATAGAATTCACCGGAGATGATTCTCTTCAAGAAAATTCTTCCTTTATCCCATCTAAAACTAAATTTATCCAGTCTAGGACTACAGAGTATCAGACTGAATCATTCTGTCTTCATTAATATGTGCTGTCGCTTTTGTAATTATTACAAAGAAGTGCTTACAGCAGCAGAATGTCTCTATCTTTCCACTGCGATCTCATTCCTCACGTTTCAGGGTAGCAGCTACAGATCGTGGAAAGAACAATTCAACTCTGATCATAGATTTATCTCCATTTAGGTTACAAAATTTGCACGTTCGATTTCCGCTCAAAAGTCTGCCATGCTTCTTTCCCAACTTAAGTACCTCATGAAATGGGGTGAAGGGCTCGCGGTCTGAAAACAGATACCCCATTCCTTCAGCCAAGTTAGTTCATAGTAAGAGATTCTCCTAAAAAGATTTGCCTTAAAGATACAATTATGTCTGACTGATCGCCACTACCAATTAAAAACACTACCAAACTAACAACTTACCTTCTTCACTAACTCCGGACCACCAGCGATTTCCGCTCCAGCTTCTAAAGCGCTAATCTGAAGGTCAGGGTTTTTAACGAATGCCAGAATCGTCCGTTTTTGATCATGATGGAAAGTGTGAGGCATCAAGATCAGTTTTGAGGTACTCTCCAAATAATGGTTCTGAAAAAAAATTAGTTTGACAGCGGACACTTGCGAAACCGAAGATTAGGCAAACCTTCTTCTCCAACTCCATGTTCAAATCGAGTCGAAGAACAACCGGAGCAGCGACGTTGTTGAACATCGTTGGATGCTGCAATTCCCGATGCATCTCGATAGCTTCGGCAATTGAATAAACGGGCCTCACGTAAGCCGCTTTAAGCCAGACATCGTCGGCCGGCTTTTCCTTTCGCTTAACCAAACGCAAAGGCAACGGCGGGTACTGAGACACGACAGAAATTCTAAAGCACAAACCACCGTATCGGTGAATTTCTATACAATCAGTTTGATGCTTTTCGCAAAGTCTTCGTCAGACACTATATTTTGCCTATCTGACAAGACAGTTTGCCTTTAAAAAAGATTTTTAAAAAGAACATCTTGTAATTCAACAGTTACAAACATAAAAAAAGATTCACTGTATAATATTTATTCTTAACAGATCTTTCAATCAAAAACCACATTGTCCATCATCATCGTCAGGACAACCATTCATTTGTAAATACCAACAATCCAAATTCAAAAAGTTAATCGCTACGAAATTATTCAACGAAATACAGTTTTCTACTACTGAGCAGATCAGCTTTTCCAAAAAGTAGTGTTTGTTCCTCTTCGATGGAAGAGCGAATCAAGTAAATTACCTGATATAGTTTATATTTCTCAACTCCAGAGTAAGCGATAGTAACATTTCCCTTGCATCTTTTCTCCTGGAAGGTGATTATTGTCTCGCCTGTAACGGAATATTTTTTATATAAGATTTCTTATTCAAACTTTAGCAGTGAATCAGTATGAACATAAAAAAATATTACGCCTATATTTAATAAGTTCTACTTCACAACGATCTTTACGACAGTATAAAAGAAACAGGCCTGAAATGGTTTGAACTCTGGATGCTATAATCTTAGTAACGCAATTCAGTCAAGAGTCAGTCTAGACAGGGTTGGCAAACCAATCAGCAAACCGTGTCCTCGTTACCTATCCAGCTTATCACTGTGTTGCACTGCGAAATGAAATTTCCACGTAGGTTCAATGGATTTCGCAGCATCAGATGCTTCAATCTTTAATATTTTGTTTTCACTTTACTCTATTACAAACAGTCGGCGGGGGAAACGAAATGGCCATTAGGGTACCGCGTTAACTGTGCCGAACCGTTGTTGTTACAGCAGATCTGACTTTGAACTAGGAGAAGCTGTCTATGTTCAAGTCGATGTTTATTCCCACTGACCGAGAGATCCTTAGTGTCCAGTCGCTGCTTCTCCAGATTAAGAAGTCATGGATGCGATGCGTTTAGACACGTCCAGAAAGGAAGACGAAATAGTCACCACTTGAGCAAGGTCCAGGATGACTTAGTGCAAGTGCCTCAACGGATTATTCTGCTTATTTTGTTCCAAAACTCAGAAGCTTGTATAAAATCGCAAACGTTGAAGAAACTGGCTGACACTGTATCCTCTGCGGTCTGAAATAATAAGCGGTCATCGTAACTGAGTGATATGACTGACTGAGTTACTGCTGAGTGAGTGACTGACTGACTGAGTGACTGAGTGACTGAGTGACTGACTGACTGACTGACTGACTGACTGACTG